GGATTTAACCTGCTATAGCAGGTCATAATGATCATATGTGAACACTTCCAACAAGTTTGTTACCTAGATGTGTACCGAAAAGTTAATTACCTTAATAAGTCATATTCCCAAATAATAAAAATAAACAAATTCATATAATCACATTTATATGTATCATTAGTCGCAAACTAATTTTTATGATATTCTTGACAATTGATTTCTTAGGATCTTGCTATTCTATTGGTTTACGTGATAACCATTTATGTGTCGAAAATTCTATGAGACATCATTGCCCCATATGTTATGAGGTATGTGTCTTTTTCTCTTTGTTTTACGTTGGATTAAAATTTGCATAATTTAATAATAACACTTGCTATGACTACATTCACAGTATTTATTCGACTCGATGAAAGACACTGCAGTTATGAAATGTGGGCACACAATGCATCGCGATTGTTACAACGAGATGATAAAACGAGATAAGTAAGTATTTTTGTGACTATTAGTTATAAATAATAAAATGACCTTTTTGTTAACTTTTTTGAATTTTAAAACAGATTCTGCTGTCCGATATGCGCCAAATCGATTATGGACATGTCTGCAACATGGAAGATGATCGATGAAGAGGTTGGTCTATCTAATTGATTCTCATGAGGTTTCATTAGTTGGGAGTAAATTACAATTTTGGTCCCTATATTATATAAATTTTTGTGAGGTTGATCCAAAATGGTTTTGTTGCAAATTTCTCTTGTTGTTTCATTTTGTTAAGGATTTGGTGTATAACCAATGCAAATCGAATATTTTTCCTGTTAATATAATAGTAATAAATGGTAAAAGTTAATAAAAAAGCTAGATAAGGGGCCAAATAGACATACTCCACTGGTTGAGGACCAAATCCGTAATAAAATGAAGATATGGAATCCAATTTGAGACAAAAAAAAAAGGACCAAATCTTACAAAAATAGAATAGCATTAGCAGCAAACTTGTAATTTACTCATTGTTTATTTTCACAATTTTACTTTCATTTCTTTTCATTACAATATTGTACTTTCCTTCTTTACATTATACTTTTTAAATTTTACTCATTTGTAGCAGTGAAGTTATTTTGTATTTACATGACATTTCTATAACTAGATAAATCTTCAAATTACAATGGTGTAATTAGATAAAAAGGAAAGTAGAATACAATAATAAACAAATCAATACAAGTACGTTGCTATTTCTTGTAATTAACCATTGTTTCAAACATAATCAATGCTTGAAAATCCTCTTATTCTTTTTCTTCATATGATCATATTTGACATTTATACATTTGTTTCGCAGATCGAAGCTACTCTAATGCCTGATGATTACAGGCACAAGAAGGTACTATCACATCCTTTGCGACTTTGCACTACTTTTGTTGCAACAAATGAGCCAACTTTTTAGGATTATTTTCGATGATAATGATTACGAGGGCATTCACGTCTTTTGCATACGATGTGAAATTATCTAATAAGGACCGGATTTTTCAGGTTTGGATACTATGTAACGACTGCAATGACACTACAGAAGTTTTCTTTCACATAATTGGACAGAAATGCCGCCATTGCAGATCGTATAATACACGGACGATTGCGCCCCCTGTTTTACCACAAGAATGACCGAAACGCCCCTTGTTTGTCTCGTATTATAAAATAGGTTGATTTATATACATCTATATATTCTATATTCGCGAAAAAAAAAATTATAATTTAAAATTGCTGGATAGATGGTTTTGGAGTGCAAGAGAAGCACTGTTTTCAGCCAATTCTTCCTCCACCTGTGTGGATTGAAGTAGCCCTTGCTAAGCAACTTGGGTTGTATAATAGATTAATAGTAAACATGTTCGCTTTTGTTTGTTTTTTCTTTATAATGTGAACTTTTTTAAGTCGGATCTATATTATGAATATGAAAATCTCAAGGAACTTAAAAAAAACAATTGATTTTGGTGTTCTGTTTTTAATATTCACTAGCATCGCTAAGGACAAAATGAGTGGTTTTGTATACTTATAAATATGTTTTTAAGGATTATCTAGAAAGACTGTAAATCTGAATTCTTAAAATTTGTAAACCAGATTTAATGTTCTCATGACCAAATCCATCTTTCCAATTCTAGTATTTTTATCTTTTTTCAATTGAAAAAAAGACGGTGAAATTACATATCATATCAGGCGAATCAATGCACACGATGCCATTTATTTACACTATTCAACATACATATCAACAATTATACACAGAATGCATTATATATTGTTATATATACACACACATGACACATAGAGACCTTCCTCTAACTTGATGTTTGGCATGACCAAGGCGAGGAAACTGGTTTAGCAGCCGAAATCTGAACACGTATGACCTCATGAATAGCACCCCGATAAAGCACATCAAGAACTTGTTGTTCTTTCATCATTGCAAGATCTCTTAAAGAAGCCCTTCGTGAAATCGACTCATCACGAAGCCTAAATCCATACAACCACCTCCCAAGCTTCCACCATTGAACACATATTTGTCGATCACAAATCTTTGAGCTATTTAAAGCCTCCATCACATCACCCGCCTACAAACCATACCAATTTATTAGACATATTTCCATAATTTCGTTGAAAATATAATAACATATATTTGGTGATGTTTCTATAAAAGTTTTATTTTTCCAATAATCCGTAAGCTGACCCACACTGCACAATTCACATTGGAATTGAAACTCCCACCCTGCAACTATTTTACTATTTTTACCAATATAGGCAACATATAATGAACAATAGCATACTTATAACTTTTTACCCATAATAGCAACATACTTATATTTTTGTTTACCTATAATAGCAACGTACATACATTATTGATAAGAGCAATTTACTTTATATTGTATACATAATGGCAACATACTTTTTACCCTTTGTAAAGGATTGGATATTGTAAGCTTACCGGAACTCCAAGCCATGCAATAGAGTAGTGCAAACCAGCCAAATTGAGCAAAACATGAAGATTTTCTTTGAAAAAGAACAACACCACATCTCTAAACCCAAATTGCATTGAATTCATGTTTTGCATTGCAACCAAATAATGATTAACCTCAACGGATTCTGATGAAATGCATTGTTCCAAAAAGGCAATAACAGCGTCCGCCTTACTAGCCATTTCATGATGTTTATTCACATAAAACCCCCTCCATCCCTACACTCACACATAAAAAAGTTTCACGTTAAAAAATACAAGAAATAGCAACTTACTTTCTTTGATATGTTTAGTGTAGCATCTTACTTTTCATTTTCTATTACAACACTATACTTTGAAAAGTCTAGCGATTTATATCAATGTCATCCAAATACAATGCAATTTTCACTGTTATTATTTGGTACTTTTTTCAAAGTATAATGTCCAAATAAGAAAGAGTCAAAGTTCAATGTTTATAATTGGGTAATTACTGTTGAAGAGCCTAATCGACCCTCAATATGAAGAAGAAAAACAATTCAAGCATATTTCAAGTCAAGCGACTATCTATGGAGAGGAAAATAGGGATAGACCTTTAAATTGGAGTCCAAATGCTGTTGTTGAAGTTGATGGGGATTGAATTCAGGAACAGAAGAAGATTGTTCTTTATCGAAACCGAGGGCTGGCCATCTGTCTCTGCATAGACCCGCCCATATATGATCAGACCCGCAAAGCTCCCGCCAAAACCGAGAGCAACTACCCAACGCACACAAATCCAATTCCTTCATCAGAGACCCCAAATTGAATTCATAGAAATTTCCCAAAATTAGAACGCAATTCTTAATTCGTATTCTCAAAAGATTAAAAAATCTAACAAATAGGGATATGAAAGGAAGGAGATTAGAGAAAGAAATCAACAGACCTGAAGCAAGGAAGCGATTTTGAAGGCGATATCGCTTGGAACCCAGTTCTGTATGGATCGATTGTTCATCTTTTGTTAGTGATTTTGGTTTCTTAGGGTAGATTGTTGAGAGGAAGAATCAAAAGAAATAACATTTGGGAGTGGGGATGATCATGTGCGATGCCGTCATCACATAAATTTCTGCTGCGATTGCGTGGAGGTGTGTAAAGCAAGAGAAATGCACGTAGCAAGTTAATCTATCCCCCTTTTATTTTGGTATGAAAAATGTGCAAATGTCAACCATTTAACGTATTTAGTAATCAAATTTGATTCTATAAGCCTTTCGGGCAAAAATCCATACAAGATATAAGTTTATAAAATTTTGATTTTGACTCTATGGTAATTTTTTTTTCAATTAATTTAAACATTATATTTTTTAATTTTTTCAATGTTATGTCAACCTAATTATCAACTGAGGTGGCATAATAACGTGTTAGTTTTTTTTATAACGTGATGATGACATAACATAATGATGTGACGTTTTTTGGCGACATCATTTTCTGGGTTAAAACCGATTTTTTCTAAAAACCTAGTATCTTTTGTACGATTTCGCTTATTATAACATAATAATCAAGACTTGTTTGAGGGTTGAAGATCTATTGTGGGCAAACTTTTAGAGCAAAACAATATAACAAACTTGGCTAGTAAGGCGGACACTATTATTGCCTTTTTGGAACAATGCATTCATCAGAATCCCGAACTCCCAATGTTGGGAGTTTCCCGAACTCCCAACTCACACAATCCTCAATCCAAACAACCACTTGGGTCGTCTTCCTCCCCGATGGGGATGCGAAACTCATCCTAGTTTCACTCCTGCTTCTGATCCTGAATACCTGAACGATTCTCCCCCACTTTGCTTCGACTAAGCTCTCACAGCATATGAGAATTGAAGGATTCCCAATCCTTTTTACCCTCTAATGATTGATATGTTGACAATCTGCGCTTACCAATGTTAGTGTTCCATTACTAACCATTCCAAGAAGACCGCGCAACCTCCAAAGACCAGATGAACACTTCCCGAATCCCTGCAAAACTGATAACCCTAGATGCTTTGAAATGATACTACACTTAAATCTTGAAGTCCAAATAACAGATGCTCAGACCAAAACCCCAGCAATTGGAATACTTCCATTGGCGCCCCCACAAGCCAATACAAGCACGATGACTGAAACCATCGAATACTGGCGGTGCTGGATAACCAACCTGCTGAACCCTGACCACAGACCTTCGACCCAATGCCCCCGATCCGATCTCGACCAAAACCGGAAATAACAACCGAACACTTGGAACTCGCTATAAGAGAACAACCCTTCACTAAACCACTAATAATTCATGGCATGCAGATGACATATAACATTTCTTGAAAATATAACCCAAACATAAGCAGAAAAATAAACCAAGATACGCTTACCCAAATCGCTGCAATATTCCAACAACATAAATTATGATAAAAACCGAAAAGAAGCAAAAGATACATACCCGCAATGTCGCCCATTGGAGTCCTGACCTCCCCTGTCTGACACTGCAAGACCCGACTCCTTTTTGTTGAGACTCCTATCCTACCCTCTCGTCCATCAGTGATCCTCAAAGTAGTCGGAGCAGGCACACTCACCGCTCCTCCCCTCAACATCGGACAGTCGGCCTTCTTGTGGCCCACCTGATCGCAGTGAAAACACAACGGGCTTGCCCCCTGAGGACAATCTATGTTGATCTGACCAACCCTGCCACACTTGTAGCATCCCAAACCCCTGGAACGACAAACTCCATCGTGCAGTTTCCCGTACGTGTTGTACTGACCCCGGCCCTGCTGGCCTCTCAAACACTGATCAGAAGTCTTGGGTCTTTTCCCGGGACCCTCCGCTACATGCTCCTGATATGATCCCCTCTTCCCGAGGTGCTCCAAATCGATCTCCCGCTCTCGGGCTCTAGAAACCATATCATTCAGGGTATCGCACCCTAAAATACTCACAAACTCTTTGTGTCACACCCCGAACCAAACGGCGGAAAACGTCCGGGGGCTTGTGCGTGACTTCATCTTGTAATATCATCATAATTGTATATAATTGAAACAATACAACACCATCATCATACAAATCAAAATACAATCAGCATTGTTTACAACAAGTACAGTATCATAAATTACATGTCCAATATATTTAATGTATGATGATAACAAAATATAACAAATTTCACATT